GTTATGTTTATGAGAACATTGATACTAAACTCATACCTGTTCTTTTGTAAATAAACTTTAAATAAAGCTGGTTAGCTTAGCTTAGCATAAAGACAGAAAACAGGGAAACAGCCAGACTATTTGTTGGCACATAACCCACTGTAAAGTGGTGACTTGTTGTTTTTGTGTAGCTATAACATTAGTTCCCTGATAAAGTGGTTAGGGCACAGCGCTCTCGCTGCTGCAGCCCAGGTTTGAGTCAGGACATGACATATTTTTCCCTTAACCATCCTCTGCTCCACCCTTCTCCATGGTTGGCGAGGTTGTAAAGCCTCCATAATCTCTATAGAAAGTACACCTGTCCACTCGGTTGGACCCATACTGATCCCACTTAACAGGTAAGTGACCGCATTAAGACCATTAACACAACCATCTAGTGACACACCTTAACACGTGCCCACACTCCCAGGTAAACACAATAAGATGAAGGTGATGCCACACACACTCACAGAGTTCTAGCTACACAATAACTGATAGGGATCTGCAGGCTTATATACAAGGCAATTCAAGGTTAAACCACAGCCTGTACTGACAACTCACCCTTGGGCATCCTTCTGGGGCCTACATATGACAAAGAGAAGCTGTTAAATCTCTGCAGAGGCCGAAATGCTGTCACTATAAATTTTGGTACCTTTGGCCATGTGAGGACAGCTGTTAAGTCCAGAGCCAGGATTAACTACAGCAAAGAGAGACTCACCTGAAATCCAGCACAGATACACTCTTAAATCCAGGAAGCCCCTCTAAAACATCCTCTATCTGCAAAGACAAAAATAAGGAATCATCAAATTCAACTCAACTGTGTAATTAAATGTAACAGTGCATCCAACACAGACCATAAACTATGACATAAAGTGGGTCATATGCAGAAGCACTAATGGGAGTCATAAAGAGAGATGGACAGTTGGAAACAAAGCCAGAGACCAACCTTTTCAGCAAACTGTCTGCTGAGTGCTTGGTACTGAAGGCTGGCTGGATCCTCGAGGTCATCGCTGTACGTCTCACCAGTCAGGAGGATTCTCAGCTCCACCACCTGTTTCAGCACAGCAGGCGTGAGAGGCTGCACAGCAATGTCATTGTCCAGCTGTACCAGAAAAGATACAGTAGTATTGATATCAAGCTAGATTACAGAGTAGCTGTTGAATACTGTTGACTCTAGGTTTTAATTCTTTTTTATTATTTTAATTATTTTCAGAGATTTATTTTAAAAATAACTTTGATTCTTTCAATTCTTGTATCTTGAAGGAAAGTGTCACTGTTGTTATTGCTGGTGTTACCAGCCCACCAAGGCAAATTTTAATCAGTGCTGTTGATATGGCAATAAAGTACTGAAACTGAAACCAATAAAGATGCAAATACACTCGCCGGCCACTTTAATAGTCACACCTGTACAATTTTATGCACGTCAGTGCAACATTTCTGCCTTAACATCAGTGTTTATGAAGCTCAAAATGTTAGTTTTTAGTGAAATTCTCATAAATGTATAAATTCATTTATATGCTTATTATTGAAGATGGTGTTGTACTGGACTACATTTTATTCAGAGGTGTCTATATTATTGCCCTCCCCAGCTACACACGAGAGGGTCAGAACATTAGGAACACTTCTTAATATAATGTAGTTCAATACAACACCACCTTTAACCGTAACTTCAATAATAAATATATAATTGAATTTATACATTTATGAGAATTTCACCAAAAACGTATGTTTTGAGCGTCATAAACAGATATTAAGATGAAAGTGTTGCATTGACAAACAGTGTACAGGGATACCTAATAAATGGCTGGTGAGTGTATATACAGTAATAATTACCAGTCTTCAGGCACACACATGTCTGTGTGTGTGTGTGTGTGTGTGTGTGTGTGTGTGTGTTTGCCCTTACTTTACTCTCCTCCACCTCTGGGGCAGTTGTGGCTGCTTCCCCCGCCTCCTCTTTTGTAACTACGTCTTCAGAGTGGTTGGGTTCACATGCAAAAAAAAAAAAAAAAAAAAAAAAAAAAGGAGTCGCTGGTTTATTTAAAGTAGATGTGAGCTTAAACCTTTGGCAAGCGCCATGATTCCTGATGGCTGTGTGGATTAGATTGTTCTGTCCCCAAGTACTTTCTAAATCTCAGGCTGAACTGGTCTAAATCCAAGTTTACTCACTAAAACACACAAAGATACACTAACATTGATAAGAAAGCTAGACACCAGGAATACCAGCTACCAGTGTTGTCAGGAGCATCACTGACCTCGCTCAGGAGGCTCTGCAACTTTTGGACCATCTGTTGTCGGAGTGCTGTGAAACAGTAAAAAATAGTTTTAACATGATTGATGTCACATGTTTTAATAATAAAAAGGACACATAGGACAGAGGATTTAATGGGTGATGCATACTGTGAGTAGAGATACAGGATAAAACTAGAGTTATTAAATTTTTCTTGGTTTCAAAACCTTGCCAAAGCGACCAAAACCAACAATACAGTTTGTTGGCTTGACAGAGTATATGTTACTTTTCAATTTTAAGTGTTTATCAATGCACAGTATTAGTAAAAGTTATAGTGTCTTCTATACAAACATATTTTATAATATTACAAATGTGTTTTACAACAGTTTCATTCATTATCTGTTTATGCAGCAGCTTCTGTTTATGTGTTTGTGTGTATGGTAACAAATGACTAGGAATATGAGAGGGGTAAGATTGAAGGGTCTTGGCAACCTTACCTGCACATATGCTGCCAGGATCTTGTGGGCTCACTACAGATAGTGACAAGAATGACACATTCACAGAACACAGACTTAATGATGATTTCAGAAACGTAAATGTATGATTAAATCAGTGTGATTGCATGAGGGAAAGCGGGAGAGTTTGTTTTACCTTTTCAAACCTGGCAGTGAGATTCTCTGGAAATAAAAACAAATATCTTGTTAATAACAGTATCAGCCATCAAACCCACTTTTATGAAATCAGTCATCCACCCACCTTTTCAACCAGAGCCTGGTGCTCCTCTGATTGGCTGAAGCAGCTGCCAATATCTTGTGCCGTGATTTTGCCATCCTGGCATTGGCTCATCCAGGTTTGGTACTCCTCTTGCTCTGGGAGGCGGCCCCAGAAGATCTTGAAAGCTTCCCATATGGTCTCCTGGCACACTAATCAGATCAGGAAAAACAACTTAAAACAAAAGAACAGAACATACTATATATGTACCAGCAGCTTTCAAAATTATTTTTCTTACAGCTCTATAACAACTGTAGCACACAACAGATTCTACTAAAGGTTCTCTTCTCAGTTAGAAAGACCACTCTGTTGGCTTATTAGTTTGGAAAGAGTATCACCTTTTAATTTATTCAAACAATGACAGATCTTTTGCAAAACTATAATTGGTCAGCTACAATTTCTGAAGCCCAAAACTATGTTCACTTCCATGACATAACTTCCATTTGCGAGTCAGCCAACTGGGAACTGGCCCAAAGTCAGTGCACAGAGACATGCTCCAGTCTCCTCCACTAATCAATATTGTCTGTAAGGCCTGAGACACCAATGGTTACCTCCAAATCCACATCTAGCTTACATAACAAACTTCCACTTTTCCTCATCACCACAGGCACAGACCGTCTCTTGGCACCAGCAAACTTTTCTGTGTTTAAGTCTAGGTGCTCAGGAGCTCACTGACAGGAATCACAGCTTGATCTCTGCCCAATTACCAACCTAACTCCTAGCCATCACAACTAAAGGCTTACATCTAACCCTAAGCTGAACCTGTTTTTTGTAGCATCATTTCACCCAAACCACACACACACACACAACAAAAACTATTTTCTTACTTAGCTGTGGTAGAAGAAATATTTAGATTCTTTGCTGTAGTAAAACTAGCAATAGCCAATTACTGCATTGAGAGCCATTGAGCTGAAGTCAAATTCCTTGTGTTTTAATAATGCTTGGCAATAATAATTGATTGATTGATGAAGTAAATAACTAAAATTGACCCCATAAGTTTTAATTATATATTATATTATAGGAGATAATCATTAATGATGCTTTAGCTTTTTCCACTAGTATTTTGTCAAGCTAAAACTAATTTTAACTGTTATATACAAAGTTTATTTATGTAATTCTGTAACCAAAAAAAAAACAAAAACAGGTTCATCTCTGCAAATAAGATACAAAGTAACTAGTAACTAAAGCTGTGTACTTTATGTAGTAAAATACTGTGGATTCTCTGCTATAAATGTGACAAAATTAAACACCTTTGCCTGTTGGATAATTCACTGTTCGCACAACACTTGAGGACATACAGGTAAAGAAACAGAGATATAATGGGAACAATCTCAGAAAATTGGTTACAGTTTGCCCACCCCACCCCACCCCACACACACATCCACCCCCACTAACATCACTTCCCGCTGTTTGTGTTCTCACACCTTATCCAACCCAACAATGACAGTGTGATCTTACCTCTGAGATGAAAGTAGCTCAGATGGTTTGCTACAACTTGCTGAGCTGTCTCTTGTGCACACAGTTTGACTCCACTTGGGAAAAGGATGTTCCTTTTCCGTCGAGAGAGAATTGCACGGTCTTCATGGGGCAACATTACATCAGATACACGAACAATGTGTGTGGGCTCCTGAGCGTAGCGCAGACTCAGATATCGCTTAGAGGAACCTTCCAGTGTGGCATCTGGGATATCACACAAAAACCCAACACATTTAGAATGTAACATATGATTGTGCTGGAGGTACATGGCGGACATAAAGCTTATAAATAAATTCTAATACATACCTGTCCTTAGGTCCAAGAAAATGGTCACAAAAATGAATATGACAAAATAGAAAAGATATTTCCAATATATGATGCTCATGTTAAATCCGTGATCGTGTTGAAAGCCGTAGACTTGGAAAAGGATCAAATAGATTTGTGCTTCCTCTCAAGTCACGTAACAGAGATGTGAACAATTTCTTACAAGTTTGCATAGTTCAGAATTGTCCACAAGCAGAAGAATATCAGAAACCTGTCTACTAATCATTTAACAAATGAATGACATACTGGTTTCCTGCTAAAGGGAGGTGTGGCCCATGGCGCTGAGCGGACAGCTCCTTGCTCAGGTGGATAGCAGATGGACTTGAGAGGGGGATTTCTTTTAATGCCCTCTAAATCCTGTTTACTCTAAGCCTTCTAGAAGAGCTCACCAAGAAGTTACTGGAGCAACACTGAGAGGGAGGGTGTTTAGTGTGGAGGAAACATGGACAGAAAGGAGATAACACAGGCCACAGAATCAGCAACAAGCACAGAGATGCATTAATACATACAGATTTAAAGGAGTGTAATGGTACAGTGATTCTAGTGGGGACTGTAATGTGCCAGTACAAAGGCTTGAACCCACATAACTCAGTTTAGGGACAGTTCATTAACTGGTGCCCTGATACACTGTAAAACAAATTGCAGAACTGGTACTCAGCCTTTGGAGATCACAATCAGAAAACCGCTGATATGACAGTTGTAGATACGAGTTAAAGAACCACATTTAATATCTTTAAAACAACCACCTACAAAGAACTGATGCTTTATTGTAGAAATATTCAACACAGTCATGACCATCCACCTACTCACACACCAAAATACAACGATTATGTGTTGGTTTCTGGAGCTAAGGAGCAGCAACTGAAATCCTCTCTGTATGTACATATTGCCAGCAGTTAAATCGACCTTTAACCCTGAGTTCTTCCTGTGGGATTTATCCTGTTTTTAAAGGGGAAATCTGCCTCTTCTTATCTTTAAATAGCTGTTACAAATGTGAAAAGAAACAGAAGAAGGCAGTAATGATAACTAACAACCTTACATCTCCCAGAGACTGCTGGTGTCCTTCTATCGGTGCTCCATTGAGAGCATCCTTACATACTGTATATGTGTATGGTACAGCAGCAGCAGCACAGCGTCTCAGAGGAAAATGCTCCAGAGGGCCAGTAATACGGCCCAGGAGATCGTCGGCTGCCTTCTCCTCTCTCTGGAAGAACTACACAGGTCCCGCTGCCTCAAAAAAGCCCAGAACATGATTAAGGACACTTCACACCCTGGACGTTCACTCTTTGAGCTCAGGTAGATGGTTTAGAGCAATCAAATCAAGGACCACTAGATTCAAGAATAGTTTTTACCAAACAGCAGTTACCACAGTCAATGCTGCTAAAATATAATATACCTGTGTGTGAGGGGGGCGTGAGAGGTCTGTTTATTTTGTTTTTTTGTGGTTACGTTTTTTAATATGGTCTTATTTCATACGTTATTTTTTTTCTATTGCTGTCACTCTAAAATTTCATATTATGTGTCATGACAAAGGATTCTCTTATCTTATTTGATGTAAGCATTTGAGTTTAGAGGAGTTTATAGGTCTCTTTGATAGACCTATTAACTAGTTACAGCCATTTAAAATGTGAGAAGGAGCCCCACCTATACTGGTAAAGATTTACAAACTATAAAATTTTATATTCAATTTTTTTATTCATGTTATATTTTGTGTATGATTGATATACATTATCTAAATGTGAAAAATAACTAACATTTACAGCTGTTAAAGATAGTGCAGTGAAAAAATTCCAACATTTATCTCTAGATAAAGAAAAACAAAGCTGCACAAAAAGGAAATACTCAAAGTATCTCAACATTACTTCTTACCACTTACACAGGTAACATTTTTAAACCATAAATAGAAGACGTTAACATCAAGCTGAGTCTCTCTGCACCAGAGTTGCAGTCCGTTACTTAAGTACAGTCTTAAATATGCCTTGATGAATGATACATAGGAAGCGGTGTTTAGATTGGCATTTTTCATGGTGCAGGCATCTGACCAACACCTGGACAATAATGTGTATTGTGCAGCAGTTGGCTGAACAATGCAACTCCTGTAACCTGAGAAGCATTCCTCTGCTCCTCTAACATCACCATGTCTTAAAATGTATAAGAAATACAGAGTGCAGACTGCGGCCGCCTGTAGAACTCTGATTATGTACTGTAGATGCCTGCTACACCAATTGGCTGCAGCACACTGCCATACAGAATTTGAGGGGGATTGTGCAGGACTGACTGTGAAAGTATCTGAAAGACAGTAAATATTAAGCTGAGCATGTAACACTGAACACGCTTACACTGGCAAATACTGTAATGTGATGTCAAATGAACCCTTTTTGCTTAAGGAAAAAAGTCGCTTCTATAGTCAAAACAAAATTAATGCAAGAATAAAAAAATAAAAAAAAGGTTTTGTGGAATAGGAGCCAAAGATAACTTCTAAAACATAAAAAGAGAATCAATTCACTGATTTACAACACAGACATTCCGTCTCTGTTTTAGTTACAGCAAGGAAAACAGGTCAGAAGTCAAGTTTTCACCCAAATACTGTCCAGATGGAACATACTTGTTCAGTGCAGCTATGTGACAGAAAACCAGGAAACAAGTTTAGTTTAGTCTACAAGTTTTAATACAGTCAAACCAAAGCTATACTATATTGCCAAAAAATATTCACTCACCCACCCAAAGCATTGAATTGAGGTGTTACAATCACTTCCATGGTTACAGGTGTATATAATCAAGCACCTAGGCATGCAGACTGCTTCTACAAGCTTTTGTGAAAGAATGGGTCGCTCTCAGGAGCTCAGTGAACTCCAGCGTGATACCGTGATAGGATGCCACCTGTGCAATAAGTCCAGTCGTGCAATTTCCTCACTACTAAATATTTCAGTCAACTGTTAGTGGTATTCTAACAAAGTGGAAGCGATCAGCAACTCAGCTAAGAAGTGGTAGACCATGTAAAATCACAGAGTGGGGTCAGCTCTGCTCTAGCTTAAGGTGACAGTGGTGTGGTGGGTAGAGCAGTTGTCTCCCAACCAGAAGGTTTGAATCTCGGTGCCTCCAGGCCCTGTGTTGAAGTGTCCTTGGGCAAGACACTGAACCCCCACCGTTGCCCCGATGGTTAGAGCTATCGGTTGATTTGGCGCCACAAATGGCTGCCATCGGTTTTATACTGGAAAAAAATTCCTTGTGTGTAACATACTTTGTCAATAAAGGTGATTATCCTTATCTTACAGACCTCCAAACTTCATGTGGCCTTCAGATTAGCTCAAGAACAGTGCGTAGAGAGCTTCATGGAATGGGGTTCCATGGTCGAGCAGCTGCATCCAAGCTTTACATCACCAAGTGCAATGCAAAGCGTTGGATGCAGTGGTGTAAAGCACACCAGTAACAGAGCAGAGACTGTGATCCAGGCCTTCTCGTCCAACACCAGTGTCTGACCTCACAAATGCACTTCTGGAAAAATGGTCAAAAATTCCCATTAACACACTCCTAAACCCTGTGCACAGCCTTCCCAGAAGAGTTGAAGCTGTTATAGCTACAATGGGTGGGCAAGAAGAGTTGAAGCTGTTATAGCTGCAGTGGGTGGGCCATCATATTAAACCCTATGGATGAAGAATCGGTTGTTACTCAAGTTCATTTGCATGTGAAGGCAGGTGAGCGAATACTTCTGACAATATAGTGTATTTTGGAATCAGCTCCTGTACATTCTTTTTACACAATGTATATATAAAAAAAAAAACTAAGAACATCATTAAAAGACAAAGGGGAGAGATGACAAGACTATCAAGACTGATCTCTGTTGAGAAGAATGTAGGCAACAGTAGTGATGGACTGCCATGACTTCACTAACTGCATTTTAATTTAGTACACTTTATTGTTGAGAGCATACAGTTACACATGCCAATGTATGTGCACCCCTGAACTTTTGTATTCTTATGCTAATTTGTCAATTCATTTTGAGTGAACACAGTACGCACCCTCTGAGGTTGTGGACAGCATGGTGGGCAACTGCTTCTCTTGTATTCTGCACCTTATTTGATACACTGAAGCTTCAGGACAGCAGCCACTAACTCTCAGTGGGTCAGTTTGTGAAATTTAGTCAAATAAAGAAGACAAAAGAACTTCAATGCCTTGTACAGCAAGTATCGAGAACAAACTAAAAGTATACATTTCCACTTACGGACATAGCAGTTTGTTGTATTTCTAACAATTTGTGCAGCCAAAGTCGATGAAGTATCATTGCTGTGTTGCAATATTATTTTTTAGTCTATGATGGACTGCAACAAAGAGAGAGAGAGTTGCAGATACACAACAGAATACAGCCTTGTTGCGAGGAGGAGATGACTAATGCTGTGTCTCCTGTCTGGCACTGGGAAGCTAACAGAGCAGAGTGTAAGTCAGGCACTAAGTGACTGAAGAAGTTATGTTCTGCTTCCATGTATCCAACAATGAGGAAAAAAGATGGAAAGGCCATTTCATGTTTGGATAGATTCCAGTTCCTGAGATTTTAATGGCAAAACATTTGAATAGAATTCTGCGAGGACACTGAAATGTATTTTAGGTAATGCCTGTGCTTTATGAATGACCACATTGGTGTAAGTAAAGCTGCACTGCAAAAAAGGCAGAAGCTGAACTATTTTGATAAAACATAAAAACAATAACTGAACCTTTCAGTCATGTATAAGTAAACAAAACATAAAAACAATAACTGAACCTTTAGTCATGTATAAGTAAACTAAAACTGTTTACAAAGTTGCTGTACAAACTAGGTTTTTACCACGGTTGCACTTTTATGCAATATCTTTGGATTTGACATAGAAAAGTACTAATTAATAACTGTATAAAATATCCTGCAGCATAAAGACAATCAACAAAAAGTCTTGGGGTGTACAAACATCTGCATGTCTAAATAGAATCTACTAGTAAATATACAGTCTACTAGTCTGGTCACCCACTAAAATCACTAAATAAACAGCTGGTTGTTTATTTTAAAATAACTGATGCCTATCCACTCACAGGACCAACAGACAGTCAAAGATTTCATGTTTTGTTCAAGTTAACTCAAACTATAACAAAACGTAATGTAAAGGAAACATCTTCGGTTCAAGCAGTTCATAATGTCTGTTGCTCAGCATGAGCAGTGATTTATGACGGCTACTGGAGTCTGATGCACTGAGCAGCTGAGCTGTTCCTGTGTCTATTGTTTGTTTTGACGTCGATAAAGGTTAAGTACCAGATCTCTGATTTCATCTCGTTTCCTTCGCACCTGCTGCCGTGCGAACCATTGTTCTAGGTTTAGAGGGAGGTCAAAATGCACAACAGGGTCCTAAGGGAAGAAGACACAAAGATTTTCCCATTAATTTGTACCCAACTTAAAACCTTCAAATACTGAGTTTTAATCTTGCCACGAAAAGATGTTGCTGATTCAATATTTCAGGGGTCTTGTCTTAAACACAACAGATATATGAGCCTTAGAAACAGAGATGTCAACACGTTCTTTACCTTCAAAAAGCTCTCAACATATTGCAGCAAGTAGAGGCCACAGTCGCTGCTGTTGTCCTGAAGGGGAACTTGGCAGTGTGAGCTTTTCATCTGATCAGGACCAAAGTCCCTCGATGAGCCACGACGGGCCTCCCATTCTGACTGTAAGTACCTGAGAGACAATACATGTCATCTTAAAACCCTTTAATAAACCTACACATGTGGCTCCAGACAGACGGATTTAATTTAAAAATATAAAAAAAGGGGTCAAACTTACTCCCGTAAGAGTTTGAAGACTCGCTCGTGGAGAGAAAGTTTTAGGGAATCCATGATGAGAATACATGGCCTACAGGAAGGAGCAACACATCTGTTATTCAATATCTGAGGTCAAAGAAGGATATCATAAATCATTTTTCCACATATGCAGACAAGCATGCATGCAAATACAACTGCAAGCCAAAAGAAAACTGATGTAACATGTGTATAACATCACAGCAGTTCACTACAGATGAAATCTAGTGGGACAAAGGAGTGAAATCTGAGGGTCTTTATGTGAAAACACAGGTCGCCGCTGCAGCAGAATAGCACATCTCTGTGTGGCTGTGCACTCACCTCTTGCAAACAGCTGTTTCCTGGCAGGTGTGCTCTGTGCAGTTCTACAAAAGAAGAAAAAATTTGACTGATCAGATTTGGAAGAACAAAGATGAAATTGTTAAAATTCTGTATGTGAGATAAAAGGAAAAAAAAAAAACAGTATTATTATTATTATTTACCACTGGACCAGGTGGTGGCACTTTGGTGGTTTCTTCTTGACTGTTTTCTAAAACACAACAACCACAACCTTAAACTTTTCCATAATAATATAATCACAACATAAATCAAAGAAGTGCTTAAAATATGTACAGAATGTCTTAAAATTTGTCGAAAAAGTTAAAAGAACGCAAAAAAAAAAAAAAAAAAAAGCCCAACATCAATTACCTGTCTCTGTGTCCATGTCGTCACTGTGGTTTAATGTAGCTGCTGTGTCTGAGTCATCTGGGCTTTTAGACCCGTCTTGAGCCTGTAACTCGCCGGTCACACTGTGCCACTTTGTCACTGAGCTTGTGCCAGTCCAGGCCTCAGTTTTTGGCTCATCCATTCCAGGAAAGCAAATGACAACTAAATACCAATGAGCCCTAAACAGGCAAAGCAGCAACATGATATATCAGAATCAGAATCAGTTTATTGGCCAGGGGGGTTGGACACACGAGGCATTTGACTCTGGTACATCGACTCTCAATGTGCAAACAGTAAACCCGCATAAGGCTGTGTAATATAACAAAATACGCAGTATTAACAGCAACACTGACAGCAACAAACAATGCAAGCAATGCAAAATACTTCTTCCTGAAGTCCACTGTCATCTCCACTGTTTTGAGCGTGTTCAGCTCCAGGTTGTTGCGGCTACACCACAGGACCAGCTGCTCAACCTCCCGTATGTAGGCTGACTCGTCATCGTCTCAGATGAGACCAAAAACCATTGTATCACCAGCAAATTTTAGGAGCTTGACAGAGGGGTCTTTCGAGATGCAGTCATTGGTGTAGAGTGGAAACAGCAGAGGGGAGAGCACACGTCCCTGGGGAGCACTTGTGCTTATTGTCCGGGTGCTGTATGTGGTTTTCCCCAGCCTCACCTGCTGCTCCCTGTCTGTCAGAAAGTTAGTAATCCACTAACAGGTGTGGACAGGCACAGTGAGCTGGGTCAGTTTCTGGTGGAGGATGTTCGGGATGATGGTGTTGAATGCCGA